GGGATTAAGGGCAGGGTAGGGGAACCCATGAAGAAGATTGTAAGCTGTGGGACTGCTATTGCATCTACGCCCCTGGATGCCTAAACCCTAAACCCAAAAACCCTAAACCCTAACCCCCAAACCCCCAAACCCTAAACCCTAAACCCCTAAACCCTAAACCCTAAACCCCAAACCCCTATTTAGCCCTCTACACCCTGCCCTTCTGAACGCAAAGCTCGAAACTGAGCCCTTGAACCTGGGTTCCCCAGTAGCCCCTAGATAATGAGGGTACCCTTTTTCCCTACTATTTGGTTTTAGTTTTATGAAGGGGGACCAAAAAGAAAGACCTAAACCCTGAACCCTAAACCCTAAACCCTTAAGCCCTAAACCCTACTGAAAAACCTAGGAACTAGGAACCCTTCGCCCGGCACCCTGTTTTTCTTAAGGCAAAGCGCTTGATGGGTTGCGGACCCAGGTCGATTTCATCCGAATCAGACATGGCTTCGGGCACTTACCCTAACAGGCGAAGTACCTGATATCGTAGGTTTTTGGGGTTATAGGGTCTATAGTAAGTTAATGCACTATGGGTACTATAAGGCTTATATACGGTTTAAGGAACAGTACACCACTATATTAATATGGGTGACATGGCTCCGGGCACTTGCATTCAGCACCGGCTCCTTTTGCAAGGTTTAGGATAGGGGCCGTAATGATTGGAACAGGGTTTTGAAACATTATACCGCAGGAATAATAATATGGGACCCTAGAGCCCTAAGAAATAACATTGGTATTTATTCAAACTTCTATATACCGGCTTTCTGGTTCTTTTTGAGATGGCTTCTTGACAGCCTTGATAAGGGTTCGATCAGGTTTTATAGCAGATCTGTAAGGTTTTATCAGGGTTTCTGAAGGTTTCTTGTTAAGTGGGTGTAGATCGAAGTACCAGAATTGGGGCTTCCAGTAATTGCCACAATATGTACCTTACAAAGAAGCCTGCTAACCAAGTCCGCGGATCTTTTCAAATCTTTACGGGGCTTGGGCGTTGGAGTTGAGGTTTTGGCGGCTGTGTGCCTGTTATGGGGGTTTGCATTGGGTCCTCATGATATGGATCCTGCGTACTATACAAGTGTCTCTACGTATGTGGGCGCCATACCTTCTATGATGGGGATGGGCGAAAGCTTCGCATGGTTCAGGGTGTGGCGTTTCGGTTTCAGAATACTGGATGTTGGCCTTGAGGGATATGTGCTGGGGCTTCAGAGTAGTTCAGAGGTGCGTGAACGCGAGGTACGTAGGTCCAAGGCAACTTCCGGGGTTGAAGAGGCTTTGGGGTTTAAGGTTTATAGGGAATCATTCAAAAGGTAGACGGTAGACGTACCGTCGAACGATGCAAGACTTAATGCAAAAGCTTTTGTAGTTGAAACTCTGGGCACAAAGCATGGCGGCTGTCCGTGATCAATATCTTTTGACGACGTCCCTTGCCCACTCTAGGTTTTCGGGTGTACGGTTTGGGTTTGGGGTATAGGGTTCGGGCTTAGGTTGTGTGGGGGGAGCTAAGTCTCCAATACAGATTCCGAGAGGATCCACTGAGACGCTGAATGTCTGGTGCTCTCAACTTCAAACTTAGACGAGCATGGTTTCCTTCCCCAACCCTCCCTAATTACTCTAGTTTGATGAAATCCGGTGTGATGGGATGCCACCCGTCACATCCAAAACCCAACCTCCCCTCTCCCTCAAAAACGCTGAAATTGAAACCAAAACTACACACTGCCAAGCCGAAGGCGAATGCCTGCAGCTTTTCCAGGTCTTGAAGACCAGGGAAGATGGGGTTGATGCAGTTGTGCTGCCTGCGGCTTCGATGGTTTGAATTTAGCGTTGCGCTGCCTGCAGTGCTCACGTACCTGACGCCGCCGTCTAGGTCCCTGCTCGCAGGCCGCAGTGCACGAGCCGTCGCGACCACGCCGGGTGGAGCACGGGCGCGGTACTAGCTGGGGTCTGGTACAGCAGTATTTGCAAGAAGGGCGAAGACCGACCAAGCAGAAAAGGTCGAGCCGACACACCTCCAACCTAAAACCCCAAATCCTAAAACCCTTTCAGAATCCGTATCGATCCCTTAGAGGAGCCTGCGGAACCATTATCGAACGCAAAACCTACAAGGTTTCAGGGTTGTTAGGTTCTGGGCTCGCGAACAGGGCTTTCAGGGGCAAGCGTGAGGCTTTGGGTTTAGGGTTTTTTTTGGTGCACATTAACGTGCAAGTGTAGCTATAACTGTATAGTGGTTTCAAGGGGCAATTTTGATTATAGCAAACTCTTCAGCTCTTCATGCTAATCGGATATGCGACAGTCTCGACAACAAGCAACGGTAGCATACTATAATTTTCAGCATAACCACGGTGACAACATGAGTTTAAACTTGTTTCGGAAAGTCTGAAACGTGAAATTTGCGGTCGGTTTTTCATGAGCACGGCCACCAGCCTCCTCATTATCGTGAAGGTTCCCGTTCTCCTCAACACTGACATCCCGGCAAGTCTTCTGTTTCTCAGCAGTACAGCAGCTGTCATGGCAACTTTTGTGCAATCACTGCCAATAGTGTCACGACCCTTTGGAATCAGAACACGCATGCATCTCGTAACATTCGTGTCTCGGCAGAAGCAACGGCAACAGGCTGAGCATGAGGTGAGATTGCGCAACAATCTTTCCCGACAGTCGACATACTGCGCATAGAAGAGCGCTGTTCCAAAAGTGATATCATGTTGCCTATTGGCAAACACTTGCCTAAGAAAAGCTCCTGTCAGACGAAGGAGCAACAACCCCGCGACAACTGAACATGGAATATTAGGCTTTTATCTTCTGGCCATGTGTCTTAAGCGCCACCTACAACTGCATGTGTCATTCCGCCGGTATTATCGCTTTCATTACAAGTGTTGCTAGAAGTACTTCAGCCTCTTGCAGCAGTGGTGTTGCAAGCCGCTGTTGTCGGACTCGTAATGCCTCAAGAAGCAGCTGCCGTAGCCATACCTTAAACCCTAAACCCGCAGCATTAGCAGTGGTAGCTTGTTCATGAAGCCATTACAATACACCAACTTCTCGAACCTCAAGCTCAAGGAGGAGCCATTCCTATATCCTCGAACTCCTAGACCATACTGCCCTCCTTCAACCCCAAACGAAAACCATGCTAAACACCCAATGCATCCCCAATTCGCCTACAAACCCTGAGAACCAAAACTATGGCCCCAACTCTCAACGCCCGAAAAATCCAAAACCCAAAAGCCTTTCGATTTAGGGTTTAGGGTTTAGGATTTACTGTAGAGTTTAGGGTTCAGGGTTTAGGGTTTCGACAAGCTCCGCGCTGCCTGCAAATGGCGTTCGTTGAGAATCGATCGACCACTGCCTACAGGCAGAGAAGGTCCCCATTCCGCCCCACACGGTTTAGGGTCGCAAAGCGGTTCCACATGCGGTTTACACGGTTCCCGAAACCCCAAACCCTAAACCCTAACCCCTAAGCCCTAAACCCTAAACCCTAAACCCTAAACCCTAAACCCTAAACCCTAATCCCTAAACCGAAAGCCTAGAGTCTAAACCCCAAAAGTCCCTTTCCTCGTGTTTGCTTTGGCGTCATGGTTCAGGGTTTGGGGTTTCGGGATGGGAGGACCCAAAGAGCTCAACTTACCCCTTAATTAAGGAATGTACGTTAAATCATAATATTAAGGCTCCTATAATTTAAGGTCTATTACTTATTAAAGGGGTATTGGGGCTCTCTGGGGATGAGCTTCCAGAGTGTACCACGATGGGGCTTGCTTAGGGTTTAGGGTCAGGGAGTAGAGTTCGGGTTTAGTGTTGGGTTTAAGGGCTTCGGGCTTGGTGGATGTAAGGTTTGTGGTGGAAGACATGTTTTTTCAGGGCATTTAAGTTTACGAAGGGATGTATTGGAGTTATAGACTGAGGTCTTCTAGGGTTTGTCCGGGCCACCAGCGAGCCAGTCAAAGATTTGAAGCAACAGGGCTCGGATCTTATATGTAGGGCCCGAAGAAGTAGACTATGGCATCAGGGGCTGTATACTGCAGGTATTTGAGGGAGTCCACAAGAAATGCTGTTGCCAATTCTACAGGCTGCCCAAATCCATCAAGTCGGATTCCAGTAGCACTCATTCCCTAAACCCGAAACCCTAAACCCTAAAACCCTAAACCCTAAACCCCATTCTCCAACAGAGGAATTGCAGACACGAGAGGATCCCTCACTAGAGAGAGGTTCCTGCGATCAGGGTTTCCCACAAGAAGGACTCCATCAGCAAGGGTCGATATTCCTAAACCCTCAACCCTACTTGGAGGATCATGGGACTTAGTAAGTAAGGTTCTAAGTACCCCAATTGGGGTTATAATTCGAGCTACCTTCTTCATAACCCTAGTTACTAAGTCCCATGATCCTCCAAGTACCCTAAACCCTAACCCCTAAACCCTAAACCCCTAAACCCCTAAACCCTAAACCCAAACCCCTAAACCCTAAACCCTAAACCCCTAAACCCTAAACC